ACCCACTTCTTGAACTTGTCCAGGTCCCTCTAGGGGGCATCCTGTCCCTCAGGCATGGACCAGCCCTGAGAACACCATGGTGCTGCCCTGGGCACATGGGGTTGTGGAGCAGTAGAAGAGCTGCAGAACCACACCGCTGATGCCTGAACTACAGGGGGTGGTGGTGGCAGGGGTGCCTGAGCTGGGACCGTGGTGGGGTGGGAAAGGAAGCAGAGAAAGGTGCTGCTCTCCTCCTGAGAGGGGGCAGAAAGAAGATCCCCACCTTGCCCACCGCAGCAGCAGTCTGTGTTATTTCTGCTGCTTCCTCCAGATATACAATTTGTACAGTTAGAGGAGAGAGGATGACTCCCTCTGCCACTTCTAGCCCTTCATCACTACACAAAAATGCAGCCTCGGGGTTCAGATCCACCCCTCACTCATGCCATTTGGTTTCAAAATGAACTCGCTGGGGAGCCAGGAGGTCTGCTCAGAGCCTTTGCTGGGGCCCGAGACAAGTTTTGGTGTCATTTCTCATGGCAACACCACAGAAAGTGCTGAACCTAATCACAAAGCTACTGTGGTGCCCAATTACCTCACAGGTATTATAGATTTATGCACTAGAAACTTATTGATAGTTATACTAGTTATTGAAAATAAAACTGGGAGAGTAGCAGTGTCTGATTCTTCTTAGTATTGTACAATCCTGTTTTGCAGATCACTTTATAAAAGTATTCTGAAAAAAAATCCATTCATGCATTTACAAAAATCCATTCAAGGATCACTGCTCTACTCTTTTTTTTTTTCCTTGCTTCTCACAGCTTGATTCTCAAGTGCTTTACAGCAGAAAAGCTCTACCAAGGACTTGTGCGAGTCACTAGTGATCCTTCACCATAATTTCAAGACCACTGACAAATTAAAAGTAAAGCTTGTTGCACAGACTTGAATCACAGCAGCAAACACAGGTATGGTATTGGTATGAAGAAGTTACATCATCAAAAGCAAAAAGTAGAAGCGATTTAACCCCACCAGGTAACAGTACTTGCTCTAGATATTCAGCCAAATATGTAAAGTTACATTTGAAAACAAATATAAAGGAAAATACACAATATCTTTCTTCATGAATACTCATCATGCTTCCTTTAATCTTAGTAAAATAAGCAAGGGGACAAATAACATGAATGCTCCAAGAGTTAATAAGAGTGAGATGAACTGTCACCAATGGAAAGTATTATAATATATTTCATAATACAAGTAGATTCTCCCATTTTTAATGTTGACTGAAGTTATGATTTTAAAAAAATAAAATAATTGTAGAACGTTCCCCCCCTAGTGTTTCACTAGGAAACTGATAGCAGCTACAGGCTGACCTCTCTCTAAGCAGCAGTATGGACCTGTAGCTTGAAGAGAAGTTCAGCACTTATGTTACGGGTACCCGTACAGAACAGCTCTTGCACACTAAACAGAACATGGCTTCCACGTTTTCTTTTCCTTCTTTTCTTTGCCAAGTCACACCCCAGAGAGCAGAGGCTGGGGCGGCCAACTGGCTTGCACGCTGTCACTAGCACCCTGGATGCCACCATTTGGAAGGCCTCACCCTAAGGCTCCTCTGCCACCAGTCTGCTTTTCCTCTGGGTACTGGGAAGGCCTCAGAAAGCAAATTAGTATACGGCAAAGGAAACAATGGTGAAATACTTTGAGGCTCTGACAACCACTCCTTCATTCAGTATTCCACCCTCCTTCAAAAAACACCTCAGAACAAATTAACATACATGTATTTTTGCATTAGGCATATTTTTGCTGGGAGTAAAAAAGCTAAGAAACAAGTTAGATTCATAAATGAAAATGTATTTCACCTTTATACATGCTATACAGGTCATGCAAATACAGAAATCTACAGGTTATACAATGACACTGTAGTAAAATGTAATGTGACACCTGTCAAACACAATGTATCACAGCAAAACAAACAGGTTTTGTTTGTTTATTATTATTTAGGAAATAGATGAAGGACTAATTTGGAAGACACAGTACCATGCTACAGCTTACTGCACAGTCAAAAGAAAGTATTTCTCTGAAGTACACTAACATAATTAGAGCTGGGCTGTTGTACGTATGGTTTCTTCATATGTCGCCATAATGTCATTGGTTACTTTCCCGTTCCTGGCTTTAAAGAGCACAAGAACGGGGCTACAACTGAGCTCAAGCTATGCTGTGAACTCCCTTACACGTAAAAAAAAAAAAAAAAACCCAAACAAAACCAAACACAACCCCAAAACCCCCACCCACCCCAAGTTTTCACTTCTTTTGTGTCAGTGTCCGGAGAGAGTCGTGTTTATAGTTTATTCTTATAAGGAACTGGACAAAAGTGTCCTCAAAGCAGCACGTGGTCTACATAAAGTTATCGTTGTTCACCAACAGAAATCAAGTTAACACCGTATGGCACACAATGCCTAGACATTACACACCCTGATGTGAATCCTTCCATACAGACGCTTGCAGGACGTTACGGGGTGGGTATAGCAGTGTCCCCGCGTGTGTCTCAGCCTTTGTAGTTCTGTTGCAACGTTCGCATACTGTTTTGTTGCTGGATAAATCTTGTTTCGTTGAGCCTACAGAACGACAAAATACTTCTCCACGTGATAGAAAGCCTGCTGGTAATAATCAAGTGTCTGCATCTTCAAAGATTAACGTGTTATCTCACGCCCCGACCACTCACTTGGGTCTACTACAGCTATTCTATATATATATATTAAGGGATTACACTCGGCATTTGCCTACTTTGTTTACAGGTGTTACACAAGTATGCCTTTAAACACATAATTGATAGTCGCTCCCGGACTAATTAATATTAACCAGTAAGTGCCACTAGTGACTAAAAGTGTCAACATAATTGTAACGGGACAGCTCCCACACTCCACAGTCACTGAGAAGGCTCTTTTGATTCCAGCAGTTGTGTATTTTTTCAAGCCTCTTCAGCTCTGAACTATACTCCTGCATAAAAGTTGCCAATAACTCCTTATTAAAGACAAAAAAAGATAGGCACAAAACTAAAGTACAGTATATTACTTCGTTTCAATGCACTGTGGGCAAACCTTATCATTATTTACAAGAAAAAAGATATCTAAATGGATGTATGATAAAGCTTAAGGAAGAATTATTTCAAAATAAAATGCACAGGTAGAAATCACAGTGAAGTATTGAGATGAATTTTAAATTAAAAGAAGAAATAAGTGCTTTATTAGCAGCTAAAGCTCAAATTCTAATGCACACTCAGTCTTCCCTGAAACCATCGAGGCTCTAGATCATTGACTTCTACCAAAAGCAGCCAGTTATTCAACATATTCCCTGGGAAGACAAAGTTATATTCAGCTCTGGTTACTTGAAATCCAGTGTTCAAGGACTGCAGAAGCTTTTTTCAAGTGACAAGCTCATATTTTACTGCCAGTAGCATCACAGGGATATATATCCTCCACAAATTGCTACCTCTGTCAATTAAAAAGAGAGAGAGAAGGATATCAAGTCAGCTATGCAAGTTAGATGACCTCAGTTTTGTAATTTAGAATACACTAAAAAAAGAAACAGTGTGCCACTGTACTCTGAAAGCGTCACCGAAGCCTACTGTGCTTTTTTACTAAGCAGGCTTTCCAGGAGAAGTGATTCTACACCGTGCTGCAAGGATTGACAGCAGCAGCAAAGAGCAAGCAGCAACAGTAACTACCATTTTCTAGGCTAGCCCCGCTTTTAACTGTTTTCCTCATGCAAATAGGCTCCCAAGACTTATAGGAGAGGTATCATATTGATGAAGAAAAACCCCGAACTCTTCCCGCTATACTCTGAACACGTAAAGGAAACGTTCCCATTTACCAGACACTTTCGGTTGCTACGACACGCTCAGTCTGCCTACAGTGCCAATTTACAAAGAGCTGCAAATATGAAAGATTATGCTGAATTTAAATATCTAGGAGACCAGCTTTCTTCCTCTCCCCACATATGCTGTTTACAACTGTGATGTTTTCTTGGGAAGCTCGTAAGTAATCACAGCAATTTATCATATCTCAGGTGTTTATCACAATACTGTACCTTTATCTGTTCTGCTGAAAAGTGAGGTTGTCAGCAGATAGAATTAAGTGTATTTTCCTGTCCTGGACTGTTAAAGCCCTCAATCAAGTTTTTGTTACAGTCATCTAGGCTAATGGTATCACTGGACATCTTGGAGTACGTAGCTTGGCCTGTGAAATCCAAGAGATCTTCAAGAGCCTTGGCATTACTTGTCCCATTTTGGTCCAAAGAAACACCGGGCATGAGTTCATTCATGGGAGAATACTCGGGGATAGAGATAAGTTCTTCTTTTGAAACTGGGCTATACAAAACATAAAGAAAGGAAGACACCGAATAAGAGGTGTGTAACTTTTCATTAAGCCACAACCAAATTAATCCTATGACTGTCCAAAACCTACTTATCTCAAGGCTGGCTGCAGCAAGCCTTTACCTAGAATGTCCCAATCCAAACAAAGAGAGGTTTCCCTGTTCAGGATGGAAGGTCATACTTAATCCCTAGATCTTAAAGATTAAGGTATGTGGTAGCTGTGCGATGTGAACACTCATCTAAAAACCACATTTCTAGTAGTTTACCGCCAACTCATCATTTCAGTCCCTGCACCATTCCCTCACTGAAATGTTTATTGCATCTTGCAAATCATTGTCCTGATGACCTTGCAAACGTTTACCTAAAGGGCTCACAATTCCCAACTTAAAAAGTTATTTCTTACAACCTTATGATATACTTCAGACACCAACAATCCTAGAATTTAAGAAGTACTGCTACCAGCTGATGCTTTCCCAAGACTAGTAAGGCTAGTACGTTTCATTTTGGAGAAAAGGCGGCAGAGGAAGAATTTCACAAAGATTTCTAAAGCCACGAAGGAGTGGCGGATAAGCTGAGGGCAAAACTATTGTGCATCAAACCCTGCAACACAAAACTAGGGGGTGCCCAATGTCTAGCTATGCTGTCTTGACAAATAAAAAAAAATGGTGACATCTGACAATATCTACAGTCGCTACTTTCACAGAACGATCTGAAAGGTTTGGGGAAACTTGTATGGAATCCGTAGGTAAGGACCGTAGAAGGATTTCAGAGCCCCCCCCCCCCCCCCAAATCTGGGAGAGTGAGGGGAGGTTCTGTAGGCTCTTGTCTGAAACAACTAATTTGCATCTTGACAGAGGCGGAGTACACCGCAGTAGGCACCTGACCGCCCCTCTGTGGGGCAGGCGAGAAGCAAAGCAGTAAAGCATTAACAAACGAAACAGAAAACTGTGTGTGTGTCCCTGATGTTAATTCCACAGTTTCTATTGGTAGATACGGTCTGTACCTCACATCCATGGACTGAACCTCATCTGCTGAATCTTCCATGCTGTTAGATTTGCCATCAACAGCTTCCAGCTGAATAAGTCCTGGAACTGACTTTAGTCCATTAGCAACTACATCTTGGGAAGGGATTACAGAGGCAGCACTTTCTAAGCTTTTATTTTTCAGGCAGGTTGCCAATCCATTGATCTCTATAAAAAAAAAAGGTTAGAAATTATGACAGTAGCAGCTTCTTTATTTAAATAGTTTAAAAAAAACCCCAAGCAAACACAAGTGCTTTTAAGTTCTAGATCAAATAGAAAAGATGACTGACAATGCAGCAGGGCTCAGTTTCATCTATGACTCATCACACTATACTGTCAATCCTCTCTTCCACCCTAAAATTGCTCTTTACACTAAATCTTTTAAATTTGAGGAAACAGGAAGAGAATGTTTTATCTTTTATGTCATGTACTAAAAGCCTTAGCCTGGGGAAATAAACAAAACACAGAAAAATGCCAGATATGTATATTTTATTTAATAATTACTTAAATACATACGCTTTTTGTAAGGTCAAATTAAATGTCAGATTTAGAGCAATGCTATAAAAAGCTTGCAAGCTTGGTTGTGTGAAAAAGTTTTCTCCCTACAAAATTCAAAGGTAGATTGCAGCAACCAAACCTATTGGCAGATTGAACTTCTCATTTACAGAAATGCTATGTCAGGTACTAAAATGGAGGAGAAACTTTCTTCTGCTCCTGCTTAAGAGGCAAAACAAAGCTAAGTCTCCCCTCCAGTTTCTAACATTTATCACTGACGCAAACGTAGCTGTTCTTGAAAGCAAAGAACCTGTGATAATACGCAGTGCTCTACCTGAGATTACAGAACTTTGAAGAGAACGAACTGTGAAAACAGGTCAGCAAAATATGGCAATTTTTACCTGGCTGGTTGAGAACAAGGGCCTTTGGCTGCTTTTCCACATTCAAAGTTGATGGTACCTCCAGCTTTGGCTCTTCCTTCTGTAATCAAGTAATGGGTCCACTGTATTAGACAAAGGACTGTAACCTTCATGGAACCGATTGGACTTGAAACTTGAAACAGAGACTGCCCAGGGCCCCATAGGGTGGTCAAAAGACATTGACAGCAAGAGAGGAATTTTTTTTACCTTTTTTAATTAGGTATAGGATTTTTTAATTTATTTTTTTTTAACTTCAAAAAGAAAACATTCTCTGAAAGTATCTAAAGAAACGCTCTCCTTAGTAGAAAACTTAGAATAGAGGTGAAAACTTGACTCTCTGTCACTTCCTAGCTGGACACAATGTCCTTTTTCTCAATCGTACATTGCTGGCAAGCTTCATATGGAGAACTCACTAATTCATTCACTGGCTACTACATAGCAGGAGAAGATACATCACAGCAGCACACGTTACAGCTCCAGCATCCAGGAACGGGCTCTTGCCACCTTGCCAGACAGCGAGGGAGTTGCAACACTTGCATAAAGCTGTGTCTCTGTAGCAGTGGCACAACAATAACTGTGGCACAGCAACAGTCATTCTTTGTTCCAAACGCAACTAAAATGTGGATGTAGATTGTACCTAAGTGTACCTGCTAACATTGAACTACTCTAGCGCTTAATTTTCACACATGGGTAATAAAAACCCAAACCCCCCTGCAACCACACACGGTTTCGTACCTTTATTTCTGGTGTTTCGCTCCTCCTCGTTCTCTTCATTATTTCATCTATTCTCTAGAAATCAAAAAAAATTGCAAGATGAGAAGGCAGACGGGATATCTAACACAAGAGACTGATAAAGGAGAAACAAAACAAAAAGCAAAACTTTCCTCTACTATCATGACCTCATACCTGCCTGTCTTGAAAAAAGGGAGAATAAATAAATAAACAAAACAAAAGGTAGAAAACACCCGAGAGCGGGCTTTCACATATCAGGTCTCACAGAACATGACTTTATCAGTAGATGCAATTTAGAGACAAACATTTCAATACCAGGTGTTCGCATTTACAAGTTATGCTTTCCTCTGGAACAAGACATTTATTTAAAACCAACAGCTATTACTTTCATCTAGTCGCTTTTCCAACTCTTTCCAAATAGTGCCTTTTAAAATAGGCTTTTTGGAATGGAAGAATAAAATGAAATATCTGAAGTTATTCTTGTTGGAAATGTGTAAGGTATTACCCTAAAATACTTTCTATTCTTTCTTTGTTCATTAAAAAAAAAAAGCCTTCTCAACAAACCAGGTCTCTGCACTACTGTGAAAGGAAACTATTTCAGATTTAAAGACGCTTTAGTTTGGTACTCTAATCTGCAACATGCCTCCAAGCTCAGTGGTAAACAGTTTAAAATAACATATTGGAACAACATATATGGAAAGACGACCTTTTATAACCAGACAGAGGTTCTGTAGCTCCGCAGCTGTTCTCTCTTTCCTGTCACAGAGCTGTAGATAAAGCTAATTTATACAGCTCGAGCCATTTCCTTGTGCAGTGGTGGCCGGGCAGCCCTGCTGCTTCAGCATAATGCAACCAGAGACAAGCCAGGTGGGAGAAAACCTGTTTGTTAGTCACATTAACTGTCTCAATTAATGACACAGAGTAAGTTTGTTGAGTAAGTTTTAAAACAAAGTCACTCATGTTGCTCAATAGTCTGTGACGTCCTGGGTTGGGCAGCAATTGACATTTGCCTTAGCATGCCATTCCCTGTTTGTCTCAGGTATTTAACTTCGTGGGTAGAAGCTAACTCTGTGTTTGTTCTGTACCTAGCAGAAAGTAACTTGCCTTCAGCAATTACACTTTGTTACAAATTTTGATGTCCACGTTCCCTTAGCATGCAAGTAGTAAACACTAAGTTAGGCACAAGTATCCGTCTGTAATCCCTCCAGATTATTACTTCTAGATTCTACTGGGTACTTCCTGGGTTACGTATTTAAACAAGAAACGAAATAATTCTCTTAAGACGCAAATATCTACCTTCTTCCGTTCCAGTCTTTCTTGCTCAATTTGCTGCATGATTTGCTCCCTTTCAAGACGAAGTTGTTCAGCTGCCTCACGGGCTTTGATTTCTGCTTCTTCCCTCTAATCAGAATAGTGTAAAATATGAGGGGGCCATTATTTATTTCAGGCAGATTACCAGATACTATAAAGTATTTATTTATACGTATCTATAAATATATGTATACGTATACGCGGATATAAAGCTGCGCATTTGTGTTTGAGATGGTACCTGTTTCTCAAGTTTGGCCTGGAGTTCTTTTTCTTGCTTTTCCTTGAGCATTTGTTCTTCCTCAGCTCTTCTCCTGGCTTCCTCTTCTGCCTTTTTTCGAGCTGCTGCTTCTTCACGTTTTCTTTCCTCCTCCTTCTTACGAGCCTCTTCCTCTAGACGAAGTCTTTCTTCTTCTGCCTTTCTCTTCTGTTCTTCTCTTTCAAGCCTGCAAAAAATATAACAGTATGTTTAAAAGGCTTCATCTAGTTTAGCGTGAATCCTGTTGTATATATGGCATGCAATCAGCAGAAACTGATAATATATGCATCGGTGCACATTTTCATGAAAAACGCCAAGATACAGCAGAGGTTGAGCACACACTCAGAATTCAGGTTACTATCAACCTTTTATATCAATGTTATTTTCCCTGCCCAAAATATGTCATAGAAATTATGATTTCCCTTGAAAAAACAGGTCTGATTAAAGAAAAAGGAAACATTTCCATTCTAATTTCAATTACAGCTTTAGTAATAAAAGTAAGTTTCAATCATTCAAGCAAGCTTTAACAATCAAAGTAAGTTTTCATTCTGCATTTCACACCCAGAATGCTGGTATCTATAAACAAGCAAGTGCTTCTTTTCCTTTGCTTCAGCTGAAGATAAACAGATTGGATAAGCAGCAGCAAACGAAGTCCACAAAGCCCAGTGGTACACTAGAAAGAGTGGATCTAAATTCCACCCCTGTTGTTCACTGGCCCACTCAGGGATATCCTGCTCCTCTCTCACCACATGCAAGAGCTGCTTTGACAAATGATCGTTCTTATCCTTACATATCAGAGATTCAAGAAATATTTGCATTGGGGCAAACTGGCAGGTGCTGGTGATTCCCCCCTCCTCCCCCACCATGTTTTCTCTAAGAACAGACAAAGTTGAATTAGACAGAGTTAGTGATTTGCTACCAGGGGCTTGAAGGAAGGGCACGATTTGTTGACACTTGCAACCAGCACCCCAAGCGGAGAACAACCTAAGAAAGCTTGCTCCCAGAATACAGCCAGAATTTCACTGCTCAGTCACAGCAACCTTCACCACGCCCACACTCTTGAAGTCCTCAATGGCCTACAACAGAGTTGGGCAGGAAGAGGAACTTCAGGTTAATTTGTTGAACAATACAAGCCTTGCCATTTAAGGCACACACTACTACTGCAAGACTGTTTCTTCTACATGAACTAGCTCATTTAAAACTGCCTCAAATGTTTTTTTACAATGTAAAATACTTCAGTGCTCAGTTCAGCCAGTACACTGCAGTGTGGACATACCTGAAGTATTTTAATGAGTAATAGTTTATTTAGGTTTCTTGAAGAGGCCAAATTATTATTTTCTAACTTCACTAGTCATAAAGACTGCAAAAGACACTAATGAATTATCAGTCTGAGCTGAAAGAAATTAACAGCTCCCACCTTGATTCTATAACTACCACAGTTTCAGGGATCTTTAATGATACAGGTTAAATAATCAGGTAATAACTTTCACAAATCAACAGAGATACCTCTCCCGTTCTTCTCTTTCCTGTCTCTCCCTTTCCTCTTGTTCTTTTTGCAGGCGGGCCTGTCGTCTTTTTTCAGCTAGAATTTTTGAAGCTTCTTCTGCGTCAGTTGTTCCTGCCGTGATCTTTCCTAGGAGAAGATGACCAACGGTGGAAAGTTAGGCAGGGAACAAGAGAGTGCCCAGCACTTCTATACTCGGACAGAGGCTGAATTGGGCCTGGTACATGCTGGTGTGACACTTTTGCTTTTCAAAAGCATACCTCAGCATTTTCAGCAGATAGAATATGGGATAGATAAGGGCACCCATGGATTTCAGCACTTTCACATCCTCATTAACAAGCGTTTTTCCTACGCGGGTAACCCTGGTGAAAACTTTACATTTACTGGTTCCAGTATGTACCTTTAACACATTCTTGTAAGACTACAACTGAGTAGCTTCATGAAAAGAACAGGTCATCACTGTTTAAAGACCTCAGGAACTCATGATATCTTGCAATGTATTCTTGCAGTAAGACTCACCTTCACTAATTTCAGTCTTTCCCACAGAAGGCACATGCTTCTCCAAAGCCACCTGGCTTGCCTCATCAGTGCGTGCTCCTGAGGATTTCTGATGACTGACGTTTTCTTTCTCCTTGTCTGCTTTCTTTTTAGGAGTTTCCTGGTTGAGATTAGAAGTGGCACGATGCTTCACAGGAGAAGCTGGATATTGTTTGGCATTTTTAGGAGACTGAGGATAAGTCTTTGCAACTGTCCTGATGAGTGAAAAGAAAAATCAAAACAGGCCGTATGTTACAGAGCCTGGAATCAAACTCCATCTTTCTGCATATTGTCCCTCTTTCTTGCATAGGAGTTTTGCGCAATACTGCATAGAAACCACCTGGATGCAAGCAATCAGAACTTGAAACACAGAGAACTGGCATGCAAGTGCAGATGATTACAGAAAATTTTCATTTAAAAAGAACAATAATACTGTCTCAGTTGTAGGCAAGAGAGATGAAAACACAGAGTACCTAAACCAATTATTTTAGTAACGGCCATTTCATAACAATTTCGTCAACATTACTATATTCAACAGTCCTTCTCAACATTCAAAGAAGCAAAGCTGTGTCCTTTCTGTCTGCAGAGGTTACAATGAGTTGCAGTGTGCTGCTTTCATCTGAATATTGCCTTGTCAAACATGGTCTTTCTCTAACAGCATCTGATTTTCAAAATCAAATACTACTATACACAAAGGTAAAGCTGGGTACCATAAAAAGAGAGAACAGACCAAACCATTGTAGCGTCAGCTCCACTGTTTCAGTTAGCACTTTAATCAGCACCAACGCAACAGACTCAAGGCTCAAAACTCAGCCCCTGCAACCCCTGCAGCTATACATGGCTGCACCTGTAGTGATGGCAATGCACAGCAGCAATGCAGCTGATTGCTCGCTTGGCTATTGCATATTTTAGGTGAAATGAGAACCCTGAGGTCAGTTCTGGTAAAGCAGAAGGGTAAAGATACTTGATATTCACTGAAAATAGGTGCACGTTAAAAGAGCAGAATACCAGGACACAAAACTACACACAAACGCCATTCATTATTTATGGAACGCCAGTAAGTAGCACTAAATACTTGTAACATTGAGAAAGGCTGGGCTGTGTGACTAAGTAGTACAGCAGTAAAGAGATTACAATCTCAAAATAATGATTTATGTGAGTCCTATTAGAATAAATGATCCTATATTAAAGTGAACATTACACACGTAGTTTTAACCTTCCTTATGAATATGCAATTATGATATAAACGTATTATGCCTTATCGCTTTTTTTCATCTACACAATACAGAGTTTCATATACTATGATGTGTTTTCTGGACTATACACTCATTCTAGCAGACCACAAGCATGAAAAACATGGACAATGGCTGAAAATTAATGGACTGGAGCAGCAAGTTTTGTATAGTTCTAACTATAGTATTGCATGGCTGGAGACCATTATAACCAGAACCACATTCGCATTACAGAGCGGACAAAAAAATTAAACACCTTTGAACTCCCCCCCCTCCAATGGGTGGTGAAGAAAGGGTTCTTTTCCACCATATTATGCTGCATTTGAAAGAGGAAGAGGTCAAGACACCAGAATACAGCTCATTCAGAGCTGCCCGGTTTGTGGGGAGGAAGACTGCAGATCGTTGCACCACCGTACCTCCTTACTGCCGCTGAAGAGCCTTCACAGACTCCAAAAGCCCTTGGGCTGGTGGAACAGTAACACCCAACTAAATTTGAAGTTCAACTCAGGTATCCTCTGCCCACAGGCCCAGGAGCTCCCTGTCAGTTCAGGTCCTGGTCTGAGCTAAGCTGTAGGTAAGCCTGTTCCTGGCCTCCTAACCTGCTGATCTTGACCTGATGTCCTGGCTTGTCCTTGAACCTGCCTCTCTAAGGCCTTTGGGCTCTTGGCTGACCCTGGTCACCGTCACCAGACCTGCCTTAGCCACTTCTTTTGTCTGCTGTGGGATGGGGTCCTGCGGGTGAGGACCCTGTCCTCGCCTGCCCTGCTGCCACCCACAGCTCCTGGCTTGCCCTGCCTTACAGGGCAGCCTCCTCCTAACTGCTCCCTGACAGAAATAGGATTTTGGAAGATGTGGACAGGCAAATCGTTTACAACTCTTGTAAAAAACAGCAATGAGATTGGTTGGTGTTGACCAAATCTGGTTTAGCACTGTCTTTAGTTTTCTCTTTAGGATGTAGATGGATTCCCAGGCCTTCCTAAAGACAAGGGCAGAGATTTCAAGGCCCCTCCTACATACATACATCTCGTACATGCCTCACCCATTACAGTCATTTCCAACTGCATTTCATAGAACTATAACGTGTAAATAAAATGCGAACAACTTTTTCTTATGCTTCTCTGCAGCACAGAGGATGCTTCTTGCTAATCAGACACTTCTTCAAAGCATAGTCCCTTCTTGCTGTCTTTAGTTTACATTTCCAACTTCATCACACATTCCTTGCAATGCTTTTTATTTAACTGGCTGTGACAGGAGGAGCAAAACAGTCACATTCTCAGGCTGAATCATTTTCAGTATTAGCACTGAAGTAATTGTTCTCTAATAAAGGCATGACAATCAAACTAAAGAGGTTGGTAGGAAGGAGTCTAGTCATGACAGCTATGCATCTTGCACTGCATGGGAATTAGAGCAGACTGGCTGTACAACTTACCTGTTGGACTAGAAACATGTGCTGAATGTCTTATTTCAGTAATGCATCTTTGAACTTTTAGAACTACAGAAATTTTTTCTTACAGCTCTTTGGCCAGAAGAAGAAACAAGTACGGCTTTGCTTCTTTTAAATCAACTAAAAGGTAGAAGCATATAAAAGACTGATTACTGCAAGGATGACAACAGTGCAGCATGAGGAGTGAAAAGCTGACAAAATCCATCAGGAATAAGAATTATTTTTTTTTTTCAGAAATATTAAATCAGTTATTGGATGCAAGCAGAAAGTATTAAGTGACCACTGTTTTCCCCCTTATATTTAAAACATATTGTCAACTTAGCATCTCCTAGACACAGGCAAAACTGTAACTGGAAAAAACACTCCCTCTAATAGTATTTAAATGGTGCTACTGTTCATCAGAAAGGGCCAAACCTGACTGTGAAGACTATTAAGGGGAAAAAATGTATAAATACTTGCATAGGGGGTCTCCTTGGGTTTAAAAACTGTTTTATTCTTGCCTTGGGAGAAAAGGAAAAGGATGTAATGAAACCCTCGTAAGAATGTGGAAACACAGAAGCGTGCCTGATGAGGATCAGAGAATTAAGACACTAAATCACCAAAATCCAAGAAGTGGTAGCATGTTAGTTGTCTGAAAGTTCACTCCTCTCAGTCACTACAGATTACAGAAGTACAAGAAGCATCTTCCTTCCAGGAGGTCTTAGCTTTCTCACCTAACCGCCCTGCGTCGACATGGGGGCAGCAGCTGTAAGAAGCCATTCTCATCATGACCCCTACCTACATGCACTGCAAGAACCTCCATCAGGTCTGAGGATCCACTGGTCCTTAAACTACAATGACTCTTATTTAATTAAAAGAGGGATAGCCCATACTGCAGAAGAATGTCTCAGGAAGAGCACAAGAGGGATCCTGAGCTCACTTTTGCTGAGCAGAGAAAATAAAGTACATGTAGCACACAAGTCAGAGGTCACATCCAATTTTGTCCATAAACAGCAAGGGAGAGAACAGCCTGCTTTCTTGAAAAGCCAGGTACGTGACAGGTCATTGGTTACAGCAGTTCAGAAGGCTGACTGTGATTTAGAAATCTGTAGCAATGCCAGAGCGGCATTATTTTTTTCCCTATATCCCTATTAATTCAACAAAAGCTTTGCTGAAACCACACCAAGGGCTTGCATGTGCTCAGGCCTGCTTGCGGAGATTGCTCTGATCACAAGCTGTTCCTGGGTTATGACATTCTGCTATCTCAAAAGCAGTTTCCTTCACTCTTAGTTTTGATCTTGTCTAGGCAGAGACAGATTCATTTATCTCTTACATTTCTTAAAAGAGTACAAACTCGGCGTAGGTCTATAGAATAGTCACTTTGATAGCTGCATTATTGCAGATGTTTTCAAAATCTTGAATTGGCCCATTCTCTAGGTAGCTGCTGAAAAAAACCCTCAAAGTAGTCTTGATCCAACATTCTACCTGTTGTTTTTATCTCTCCAAGGCAAAACAAAGATCAAGAGTAGTAAGTGTAGCAGATAGAAAATAAAAATCTAAAACTAGGTCACTGCAGGACATACAAGCCACTTCTGTGAGGAATTCGCCACATGCAGATACCTTTCTAATGGGATATTTTAAAAACTTTTAAAAGTTTGGGCTTTTTTTATACTACTCTAGGTTCATGTTTTATTAGTATTCTGTAATTTGATTGAGCATGTGCATTTCTGACATCAAAGTGTGTCCCAACAGCTGCAGTGGGATGTTACCCAAAAGCAGCACCAAGTTAGAGGTTCAGTTAGTGAAACTGTAAGCAAAGGACAGTGACACAGACTGGGAACTGGAAATGAACCAAGAAGCACCACCCAGCAGCAGCGCTGCAGTCCCTTTTCCCTTCCCCTTTTGCCCTTTCTCCTTCTCATATGAGGTAATGCTTTGGCAAAATAATTAACACAGAGGCTTGTCAGAGCTTTTCGTTTTTATTCACTGCCTTATGCTATGGTTTATCTGAAGACATTTAAAACTAAATCCTACTTCCTTGATTTCGTCAGGTTCCATTGATTTCAAAGGGACTATCTACCCAAAGACATGTGAAGGACACAGGCTTTATTGTTTTGCTGATCTATAAGATAGGACACTTATCTATTCTCTAAGGGATACTGCAAGAATAAACTGATTAATGTATAGATCTTTGAAGATGAAGCATCAAAAAAATTCACCAAAACCCCTGGTATTATTGACCTTGTGAATGATCTGAAGAACAGGAACACTTTACACAATCAGTATCCAATAGCAGTTGTAAAAATGAAAGATAATTTTTCAATTAGCCCAGCTCTCTGATCCATTACCTTTTGTCTTTGTCAGCTGACCCACACTGGATACAAAGCAACAGTTTTGGGTTTCTTTCCTGTGTGATGTTCCTTCATATATTTACTTTTCTAAATACCTTCAAGCTTTCAATTCCTTCCTTGCTTTTAGTTATTGCTCCAAATAGTTAGTTCTTCCCCCTCCCCGCCCTTTTCTCCTTTTTAGGTGCATATTTCGTCACTCATTTTGTCTTGGATGTTACGTTTTGGGCTGATAGTTTTTGCTTTCCCAGTAAAATTTGCACCTTCAAACACTGTATTTTATTTATATAATTACTGCAAATCTATTCTGCCATCAATCACTGTCTCTCTTTAGGTTTAGGTTTTATGGTCCTCTTTGAGCCTGTTTCAGGTACTTTACCATGATAAAAAAGCTTTTTAATTAATAAATAATGAAATAACATGGAAAGATGACAAGCAACTCACAAACGAAGATGACGACTGTGAAGAACTAATAACTAGTACAATATCAAGGAAAACTTGACTGTCAAGTCACATGCTTTTAAGAAGAAAAACACATACAGCTTTCGAAGTTAAGGTGCTATGCAATAACTACTAATGCTGCACAATATGTATTCTTATTTCTTCCTGGGTATTTTTTTTGCCATATAGTGTGCTGGAAGGAGAAAGATTAAACTTGTAAAAGATTGTCAGGTTTGCAGTGAGAATACATATTTGCCTACGTATTTACTCACATCATACTTAAGTTCCAAAGTTAACTTTAAATTAAAAGACGAAATTATGCAATCTAAAGGAAGGTTCCAAAAACCTGACTGCCTAAATTTAAATCTACTGACCAGCCAGATCGTTGAGTTATACGAAGAAATGCATGTCTTTATATAATAATATAACATGGTCATCAGGATGCCTTTTTTCAAGGGAAGTCTCAAGACTGCTGAAGCAGAACTGTCTTTCTGCAACCAGTAATAAACATGGACTTAAACTCTACTGTATCTCTCATAAGGTTAAGGAGGGTGTGCTAATTGGGCCATGTTAAGATTAAATGCTCAGTAATACATTTCTAGCAGTGGTCAGAATCAGATTCTCTTGAGGAAGAGAGGGAAGGGGGGGGAAAAAAGAAAAAAAAAAAGGGATAACTACTGTGGTACACAATTACAGAGAAACCCACCAGCATGTGGCCTAAGTCCCCCCTACGGCATCTGCTTCATCCTCCAAGAACAGCAGTTTATATTTCTTATAGGCATGAAAACATTTTACTACAAAAAGGTTCCCATAATTTGCACCTCTGGGAAGAAAGTCTCCACCTTTGCCTAACCTTTTATGGAAATTAGTGCTACAAATTAAGACTGGGCATACTATTTTTCATGAAGCACTAATCATCTGTTTCACAAAAGCTTTTTCTTTTTTTCCACAGCTGTCTCTACGATGAGCTATACCAACCTTTTCAATGTCTGCTCATCAAGAAGCGCTTCACTCTCAGCAATCCATCTCCCACCAATCATTTTGCTTAACTAAATATGTCTCCTGGTACGTCTTTCATACTAGCTGACTAAACTGAAAGATGCATTCAGAACTGGGTACACCATCAACTTACAGAATACTATACATTTCTATAGCTCAAACTTCTCTGCACATTTTGGAGTGCCACTAGACAACGATCTGCTCAAAACTGTAATAAAAAAAGTTGATTGTCGTTAATATTTCCTATCATTCCATTCTTCACAAAATTTACATAGTTCAGAATCTCACAACACTATATAAATAATATTGAAAGTTTGAGAATTTGTGGCCCTATAATATGAACCAAAAATTGCATTTTCCCAGTTGCATGCAAGGGGATGTCTAAAACAGAAAGAACGCCCAGAGTCAGATGGTTTCCTCTATTTTGTCTAACACCAGATTCACACACAAAATCATCCTCTGTTAAAGGGCTATGCACTCAGGGCTGAAACAGAAGACACAACAGCTAGTTTTTGGAGCAGAAGAAATTTGTCAGAAAGGGGATCATCAAGACTGGTTCAGAAATGGCCAGGTTCAGATTAGATAAATAAATACAGTCACAGAACCGCAGAATGGCAGGGGTTTGAAGGGGCCTCTGGAGATCATCTAGTCCAACCCCCCTGCTAAAGCAGGCTTGCCTAGAGCAGGTTGCACAGGATAAATAAAAATTGACAAAAGGAGGTAATTTTCAGGACAGAAGTGGGACCCATGAACAATGTCTAGGGGAAAAAAAACCAAGCAGCCAACCAAATAAAAAAATAATCAGGTAACTACTGTAGACCCTGACTACTTTAGCATATTTCTGCATTTGAGCCAGACTTAATATACTGTTCTAAGAAAGCTGAAGACACATTTGCTTGGACTAGTTGCAAGCTGTGGTACATGGACTACAGTTTTGAGTGTCTGCAAAAAACAACTAAGAAAAGTATATTTATGGAGCCAGATGGTCATGCCAGCAATAGGAAATGCCCGTTTTAAATGCTGGAATTTCTAGTCAGTATTCATGTTCTGTGCATTTCTTCACATTAGGGAGAATTTCTTCAAAACCAAATAAAACAACAGTGTGTTTAAAAATAAGTGTCAAAAAGTTTCATACGAATTGTGAAATGCACTATGATAATTTCAAAAGACTGAGAAAAGGCAGAGAAGTGTCTCTAGTGAGCACTAGCATAATCTTACATATATAATATCTGTTCATCTACCTCTCTCTCTCCCCATCTGCATGTGTGTGTACGTGTAACTAAAATTAACTTGATTTTACACAACACTTCAAAGGAAGTTCCTCAAGAATCTATGTCTCTTACAGGTAACAAGAAGCTCACAGCATATCAGACCACGAAGAAGAAAGGCATACTTAGGTGTCGCAGGTGATGCGGATCTTCTGGACACGGCAGCAGGAGAATCAGACCTTCTTAGAGGAGATCCCATACCAGATGATGAACCAGGTGTTGTGGGTCGCTTCTCTTTCTTTATCTTCTCAGTCTAGAAGCACAGTTCATTTTAGTTTCCATAATTAGGACCAACAGATCAAAAATACATTTGATTGTTTTATTAACAAGCTGGCATGTAAACAGATTTGTGTAACATACACTTAAGAGTTTTTTAAACATGCTCACAACCCAGGTGCAGTAGTTTTTTATTTTTACACAGACATGACCCCCCCACCATGCCTCACGTGGACACAGTATACAAGTTGCATATAAGTAACACCACATCAGAGCCTCTCCAAGAGTTCTTGGGAGGGGTGGTGGCACTGGGTGCAGTTCTCAATCAGCTATGTGCTCCTGCAACACCTCTTAAGACACGATCAGTAATGCACCCAGGCATCTGGCAGG